AGACAACCCACAGAATGGGAGAAAATATTTGCAAACTACTCATACAATAAAGGATTAAAAACTAGAATATATAAGGAGCTCCAACAACTTGATAGGAAAAATTAAATAATCCAATAAAAAATGTACAAAAGATCTAAATAGATATTTCTCAAAAGAAGACATATGGCCAAGAGACCAATGAAAATCAGCTCAACAGCATTAGTCGTCACAGAAAGGCAAACCCAAACCACAGTGAGCTATCATCTCACCCCAGTTAAAATGGCTTTAAACAAATGCTGGCAAGAATGTAGAGAAAGGGAAACCCTCGCATATTGCTGGTAGGGATGTAAATTAGTACAGCCAATATGGAGAACAATACGGAGGTTCATCAGAAAACTAAATATAGAACTCCCACATGAGCCAGCAAATTGCACTGCTGGGTATATATCCAAAAGAAAAAAAATCAGCATACAGAAAAGATATCTGCACTTTTATGTTTACTGGAATACTTACAGTTTTATTTGGAATCAAACTAAGTCCTGTCAATGGATGAATGGATTTTACAGATGTGGTACACATACACTATGGAATATTATTCCCTCATAACAATGGATAAAATCCTGCCATTTACAACAATATGGATGAAACTGGAGAACATTATGTTGTGTGAAAGAACCCAAACACAGAAGGACAAATTTCAGATGTTCTTCCTCATATTGGGAGCTAAATTTTAAAACAGTTGATATTATGGAGATGGAGAGTAAAGTGATGGTTACTAGGGGCTGGGAACAGTAGCAGAGAGGGGAGGGAATAAAATAGGGATGGTTAATGTGTGCAAAAATACAGTGAGAATGAATAAGTTCCATAATTCAATAGAACAACAGGGTGACTATAGTCAACAATAAGTTACTGTATACATTAAATTAAAATAAGTGAAAAAGTGGAATTGAGATGTCTCTAACACAAAGAAATGACAAATGCTTGAGGTGATGGATACCTCAATTACCCTGATTTGATTACTACACATTATATGCCTCTGAGGCAAAGGCTGAAGAATTCACAGAAACCGTGTCCTATAAATGCTTACCTGTGCACTTTGTTATACGAGAAAACAAACAAACAAAATGGGCTTTTTAAAAGCTAACATTTCAGTCATTTATAACTGAAAGTAATTCTATCTGTTATAGACTCAAGAAGAAAGAAAATTTGATTACTGATGAAAATATGATTGGCTACAAAAACCAAGTGACTCTATAGTCTCACTTTTAGGGATAAATTTCCAGCAATGTATTAATACAATATGTTAAATCCAATTGCATTTCCAAATACTATTAATGAACTCAGAAAATGTAATTTTTAGAAAGTTATAACTTATACTAGGAATATAAAATATAGCTTTTCTAGAAATATTATCACAGATGTATAGGATGTTTACTGAGAAAATTTTGAAATTATTTAAAAGAATTAAAAAGTTTATGTAAATACATAGGTAAACTAAATTTATGTATGGGAAGATATAATCTGATGTAGAAATTTTCTTCTCCAGTTTTTCTATTCTCCCCAAATTAATGTACAAATTAAGTGTAATTTCAATAAAAATTATGATGGAATTGTATGTGAGCTATTTCTAGAGTTACTCCCAAAATTTATGAAGAAGAGCACAAAGCTAGGAATAGCCATGACAATTCTAAGAAATAATTTTGGAGGACCTAATTTACCACATTATAATATTTATTATAAAGCTAAGGTATTTAGGGAAGGGTGACTCCATATAGGAAGGAGAATGTTAAGCCCAGGAACAGCCCGAAGATCCAAGAAACAGACCCATGCATGTGGAAATCTGGGGCACACTGCAGATCACTGAAGAATGAATGGGTTATGCATTTGGTTCTCAATCCTTAAAAGGATCCCTCCCTCATATCATATACAAAAATCAACTTCAGGTAAAAGAAAAGACCTACAAATGAAATTTAAAATTGGAATAAAAATGTTTTTATGACCATAAATAGTAGAAAGATGATGTAAGACACAAAAATGACAAATCTTATAAATTTTGACTATATTTAACTCAGTAACTTCTGTTCATATATAAATACGATAAACACATTAAAAGAATAGCCAGGAAAAGGATAGACTCAGAAGAACTTCTCAGTTTTAACTGTCCAATGGAAAGATAGGCAAAATCAAGTAGCAGTCCAAAGAAGAAACTAGTATGGCTAGTAACTACAGAAAGATGCTCGCCCTCACCAGCAGAGACCACAAAGAAATACCATTTACAATCATCAGGCGAAAGTGATTAAGTCTGACAATACCAAATAAGGCGCGGGGACCTCCTGTGTGTTCCGAGGTGGACGGGGGTGGGAGTACGGGGGTGGGAGGAAACTGAGAAAGCCACTGTGCAGAGCAATCTGACATGTCTTATAAAGGGGAGATCCGATTCTCTGTGATACAGTTATTTTACTACTAACCAAGTGCATATAGGTCAGGACTCCTGTGCAAGACAAGCCAAAGAAAGTCCATGGCATATTGCAGTGAAATAAGACACTGTAAATAAATGAAGGTAGTTTCATTAACATTTTTTTTTCTTTCTTGGCCGGGGCTGGGTTTGAACCCGCCACCTCCGGCATATGGGGCCGGTGCCCAACCCTTTTGAACCACAGGCGCCACCCCAATTTCATTAATATTTGAAAAGTTTCGCTTCAGTTGATGGGTACAGGTGTATCCTTCATGATTTTTTAAAAAAAGCAAACTGTGATGTGAGATTTTTAAAATTGACAATGGATAAACCAGACTACTTTTGGAACTTCTGGCATTACATCTTAGAGTGGGTGTAGACTATAAGAGATCAACCCAGAGGACCACCTGAGGGGGACTTTGACAAGATTCCTCACAAGGACTTCCTTACTCTTACCTCTGGCTAAGACATCCCCTCTCCGGCTCCAAGGCCAGCCTTGTCCTGTCACTTGTAGCCACAGCTGACAAAATACCATGAACCTCAGAGTTCTGCTTTTGCAGACAACAGGATGGAACAAAGCAGGGGCCCTTTCTGCGAATGAAATCTCCCCACTTCACTTCAAGTGAACACGGCATTAGTCACATTTATTTGTATTACTTTTTAATGAAGCAATATTACCCATTAGTTAGAAGACACCATCAATTGGTACCTTTACCACAGATAACAGAAACACAAAGTGTTTCAATTCTTTTGCTTTCCGTATTCCATGAAGTTGCTCTTTATTTTGGTAAAGTTACAGAGAAAAAATAATTATTTCCAAGATCAAAGCAATCTGTGCCTATATAAATAACAGAATATTGGATTAAAAAGTTATCACAGGAAGGAAGGTTAAGAGCTCTGCCCTTACCATGCCAAAGAGAAGACCATTCATGCGAAGGTGTGCATATTACTGTGGCAAACAGTGGGACCATAGTATAGTCTACAAAACTCTGAAGAATCCCATCTAATTTATGACTGTTTTCCATAACCCTAAGATAAAGGACGCTGGGCCACTGCCCGTCCTGCCAACCTTCCACATTACTTTGCTTGGTGTTCTTTCCGTCTTGGTGCCAGCCCTGAAAAGTGTGGTCACTACTAGGTCCAGAAGAAGTTCTCCACTGTCTAAATTGGGCCCGTGGAAATAATGAGTACTCTAAAAAGTAAATCAGTTGTTTTAGGCTGGAACATTTTCCAAAAAGCTCCTAAGGGGAGCTCATGTCACTTTCAGCTAAACAGCTTCAAAGCCTGTCACATATTTCTATGCACCAGAAGAGATCTGTTCTCACCAACCTTTCAAATTCTGATGAGCTCTCAAGACATTTGTTGCAAAATAGCTCTAGTTTTTCCTAATTGTTTCTGTAATTAGGGAATGCTTCAGAAAAAGTCTTTTAAAAAATCTCTTTTATTTCAAAATGTTTATTTCTTGGGAAAAAATGTATTTCCTTGTGGGAACCTAAGTGTTTCACTTGTTAGAAAACATGACATGGTTCCCTATTTTACTTGTACAAGCTTAGCGGTATTGGTCAATACCATCAGGGGATGATCCCTTTGACATTCAATCAGATTAATTTACTGTTATCTTAGAAATATTAGAGTTGATTCACTTTACAAATGCCTGCTAGTTTCTTTTGGAATCAGCATTTATTTCATGAACAGAACAGCTTTCCTTTTTCTAATTAGAAAGTTTGAGTAGTACTAGGACCTAATATAGTTCATAAATATTGGAAAACATTTTAAAATTTATTAAGTGCAGCTAATCTTATGTTATCTCAGGGATTTGAGAATGTTCTCCATTAGTTAAAATAGCTAGTTGTCTAAAGAAGTGAAGTAGGTTTTTCAAATATACAAAATCATGAAGAAGGTGGGGATAATAATTCTGAGATATGACACCAAGAGTACAATCCATAGAAAAAAATGGAATTCATTAAAATTAATCAATTTAGTTAATTAAATTTCACAAAATGAAAATAAAAGAAAATACTTGCAAGTCACATGATAAAGGAGTTGAATTAGATATATAAAGGACTTTTACAACTGAACATAAAAAGAGGATAAACCAATTAAAATATGGGCAAAAGATTGGAACAGACATTTGTCCAAGGACGATATGTAAATGTTCCATAAGCACAAGACAAGATGCTTGACATCGTTAGTCATTAGGGAAATGCAAATCAAAACATAACAACATAATGAAATACCACCAGCTTTATGCCCTCTAAGATGGCTATAAACAAAACCCCCACAAAAATAAAAACAAAAACCACCCAAATAACAACAAGTATTGGTGAGAATGTGGAGAAACTGGGAACCTGGAACACTTACATTACTAAGGGGAAAGTAAAATGGTACAGGCACTTTGGAAAATTGGTGAGTCCCTGATAGGTTATACGTAGAGTTACTGTATGACCCAGCCATTCCATTTCTAGGCATATTCCAAAAAGATATTTTATGAAAAAAAAAAAAGAGAAATGAAATGAAATTATCAGAATGAAAAGGAAAAAAGAAAACCTCCCTGAGTGGAAGGGTGTTACTTACTGAGGTTCCACTTCAGGCCTGTTGTTGTAACCTGACTGCAAGACTGTCCGACAGGAATAAGGCCACACCAATCCCCTTCCATTCCAGTGTCTACATGCAACCTGTGCTTTCCCTGGAGGAGAGAAGACATGACCAGTAAGAAGGGGAAGGAAAAATGAGGCAAGTTAATGTGCTTTAAAGATCTAACAGTATGTATCAGGACATTCACATGATTCACCAGCCTTCATTGCTAACAGAAAACTTTATGTAGTACGGCTTAACACTAACAATAACTGCAAAATGTAGCTTATTGTTAATTATTAGTTTTATATGTAAGAAAATGCAAGCTTGTGGAGGTTAACCCAATACCACATAGACAACAGAGCTTCCTACCTACGCCCACCAATTCCAATGACGGCGTTTATTCTACATACTAAGGATGGAGATTACATGACACAGAATTCTATGGTCTTTATTAAATGTTTGTTCATAGGTAGATGTAACACTGCTTCCTTAGTAAAATCTCTGCTTAACTCCCTAAGAAAAGGGAGTCTTCAATCTATGTCATATAATGCAAAGAAAACAAGCATGTGTACATGTTAAGTTTTACTATCCAAGAAAAGGGTGGCTGTTAGAAAATCCACTGATCTGAAAGACATAACATTAAGCTTGCTATATAGTCATTGCTTTCCTTGTTATTTTAAGAATCAAAAGACTTTAAAATTTTCAGTCTGAGAATAAACCAGTTGTGGACTTGAGAAGAAACAGATAGGTCTAACTTAGTCTACAATCAATTAAAATTTTTTCTCCTGTTTCAAAAAGGTGTTTAGCTACATGAGAATGGTCTTTGTGTTTATAAATTGCAAATACAGCTCTTATGTATGGTTAAAGAGAACAGTATGGTGCTTTATTCCTATGCAAGTCCATGTGACATCCTTAAAAAATAAATAACTGTTTAAACAGTATACAAGAATTTTTGTTCATTCTCCAGATTTCTTAGTTCATAACATATGCCAGCCTCTAAGCGATCTGACAGAGGCAGCCTGACACTAACTAGAAGCACGTGAACTAATCATTTACTTCCATCAACTCGCATGAACCACTGCACAGGCTCCTGTTCTGTCCCCTGTTCTGAACTGAGATAACTCTTTGACATCAAAAGCAGTTCTCTATAGTAAAGAAAGAGCAAAAATAAATTATATTTATTTTGCTTTTCCAATTGTGGCAATTTTAACGTATCTAACACCCTTAATAAGGTAAGAAATTACAATTCACTGAAAGGGAACAAAAATGTTGCTTGGCAGGTCTTGCTTCAAATCCTACTTGTGATCATGTTGGAGACAGACGCCATCATGGTATTACTTTCCCTAGACAGTAAGGCCAGCAAAGCAAAATGCACACAAACAGGTAGCTACAAAGCGGTAAGAAATCACTGTCCCTTCATTAGTATTACTCTTCCTCTTTGCAAATGACCATGACGTAACTAAGGAAAAAAAGGATTAAAGTTCACCTTAGATTTTGCCTTTGAAAAATACCAAACATAGAACCATCTGAATTTTGTTTACATTTCTAAATCCTTAAACCCAATAACTATGTTAGGGTTTGTGTTAAAATATCTTACTATGGATCAGATGAAACAATGTAGCAAATTAATAAGATCATTCACAAAGCACTGCGCAGAGAAAGAGCATAAACACATTCGACTTACTGTAAAAGATTCAAGGGACAGGTGGCAAAGCTAGTTTATGAAGTGGACAACCATTCAAATTAGTGCTGAACCTATTCCTGTGGCTGCAGCTACAGTAACCGGCCCACAGTCAGGCGCAGGAGGAAGGGAACGCTGCTCACGCAGATTCAATGCAAGCCTGACCTCTCCGTAGTAGCTCATCTTTTGTTAGTTTGTCCAGGCACTTTAAAAATTTATAAACAAACACTGCAGGAAATTAAATAGGCTGCAGAAAAGAAAGTGAAAGAAGTAGGCAGAAGACTCTACATTATATTTACCAGGAGAAAGGGTTACTTTCACACGAAGGCAGACTTTTGTGCTGGTTTATTTTCACACTGTGACTACTCGCATGATTGAGTAGTCACAAAAGAAATGGTCTCTCTAGTGAACTTGTAGTTGTAAAACCTCCAAGCTGGAAGATTTGTATATTTTATCTGACTTTGCTCCACAAATGTAGAATTCAAAATACAAGTGCATTGTATTAATTTAGTGAATTAATGTATCTGTGTGTGTGTGTGTGTGTGTGTATGCATATATATTTCCTTTTGAAAATTACATTAGTATCTCAGGTATAGATAGCTTTCTGAGTTACAATTCATGGTAGAACATTTTCTAAAGTGTTTTTCATAGATCACTGCTTCCATTGTCAAACTAATATTGGAAATATTGCCTTGCTGATTCTCCTCTTATATACATATATATACTTTTTTTTTTTGAGATACAGTCTTACTCTATCACCCAGGATAGAGTGCCCTAGTGTTCAGCAACCTCAAACTCCTGGGCTCAAGCAATTCTCTTACCTCAGCCTCCCAAGCACCAGGCCACCATGCCCTGCTAATTTTCCTATTTTTAATAGAGACTGGGGATCACTCTTGCTCAGGCTGGTCTTGAACTCCTAAGGTCAAGTGATCCATCCACCTCAAAGTGCGAGGATGACAGGCGTGAGCTACCATGCCCGGCCTGATTCTCCCTTTGGAAGTCAAAATGCACACCAGCATGTTAGATGTTCTAGGGCTTCTTGTGGCAAAAAACAAACAAACAAATATCCTGTTAACCTGAATGAGTGTTTCTTAAATTTATTTCACAACAGAGCCTCACCCACAAATAATATCTCGTAATTTCACATGGAAATTGTATTTCATGAAACTCACTTAGGAGAATGTTCATCTGGAAAGGTAGTTACTTTGCACAAAAAAACCTAAAAACTAAGATATTTTGGTTTAATATTTCCACAGACAGAACACTTCAATGATACATTTTGGAATTAATAACTTCCATCTGGTTTTTATTTTACATGTTAGTCAGTAACCTCGGGCTGATGTTCTGACATGAGAGGGCCACACTCTTTCACACTCATTAAACAGTTAATAGGTACGGTGGCTCACACCTGTAATCCCAAACCTTTGGGAGGCCAACATGGGATGATTCCTTGAGACCTGGAGTCCAAGACCAGCGTAAGCAATACAGTGGACTCACCTCTACCAAATTAAAAAAAAAAAAATAGGTTAAGTCTGGTGGCACGTGCCTGCAGCCCTCGTCACTTGGAAGACTGAGGTGGGAGGATCACTTGAGCCCATGAATTTGAGGTTACAGTGAGTTATAATCATACTACCACATTCTAGCCTGGGCAACAGAGAAAGACCCAATCTCTTGAAAAAGAAAAGTTAATGGACAGTAGTAGACAGTTATCCAAAAGAAAAGCTTCTTAATGCTTATCAAGCTTGCTTGTTTATTGAAACATCAAAAATATTTATCAAATACCTACTATTGTCAGAGATAGTAAAATACTCTAATAAGCTAATTTCTGTATTAACCTCCTAACATTGGACTATTTAAAAATAAAACCAATGAAATCTATGTCTAGTCTTTTCTCTCACCTCTACATTTATGATTTTTTACACTATGTCCTACCTGATCTTTATGCCTTTCCTTTTATTCTAGTCATAGGAAATAATCTGGTTTGCGATCTCACACTAAATTGTCAAAAAGCTATTGTTGGCCCCTTCAAAAGATACAGACATTTTAAATGATGACTTCTAAAGACAATACTTATCACGGAAGTGTGCATTTCTAGCAGAAGATGAAGAACAGATTACACTGAAAGACATATTTTGAGTCAAAGTGTGAGCTCAGGTTTCAAATTATTTCAGAGAAGTGCTCTTCTATTTAATCCAGGATGCTCACGCGTCCTTGTCTGTTCCTACACCATTTCTTCCTCCTTTATCTAGAGAGGCACTGAAGCAAAGGGCAAGCTCTACTCTGTTTTTATACAAAATCCCTGTGTATTACAGCTAGCACAGATGACTTCCTCCTAATGCTACAATCTTTAATTATTCATGCTACAAGTGTAGCGTTTTTGCCTCTGTATTATTTTATCTAGCAAATGGTTTCATATGGTCTTCCTAAAAAGAATAAGATAACTTTGAAGGCAAAGAACTTTTTTTTTTCTGTTGCTTTTATAGCACAGTGTCTAATAACTACCTGATTAGTCAATTACTTAAAGTGGCAGGGAAAAGTACTGATGCAAAGTTGTCAGTAGGCACTGAAAAATCTTCACTCAAAATCTGAGTAGATGAGGGAGGGGCCAGGTGAACTGAAAGGACTTTCAAGAGAGACCCAACATTCTTTTGTGAAAAGATACTTGCTTAATTGAGCACTAGGATCAAACTGTACACAGCCAAGAATCACGAGTACCCTGGCAGTAGTGCTCACAATACACTTGAGATGCATGGAGAACACAGATTTTATGTTTGTATGTAAAATGTTGCAATACACATCACTGAGTTATTTTCAGGACTAAATGACGATGTGTATAAGGAGCCGAGAATGGAGCTTCAAGCATTCTTATAAATGTCGATTTACTTACTCTTCTCCCTCTAAAAGGGCCTTCACGTTTAACTTGAACATAAATTTTCTTTATATGCTTTTCTGCTTTTTATTTTTTTTAATAAAACTTTGTCCCTTTTGTCTAGTTATTACTAAAGAAAAATAAGCATGATTAGCCCTCAAATGACATTAGGGCGGATTCTGGGAAGATGGCCGACTGGTAGCAACCCTCAGCAGAGGCTCCTGATCAGAGGGAGGAAAACTGGAAGGCTTCAGACTCTATGAAGCCAAAATTAGGGAGCTGAGCCAAGAAAGAAGCTCTGCACGTACTTCTCCTTTTTGTTATTCAGAAGCTGCAAGTCATTATGACTGTCAGGCAAGTGGAGGGTATGGGCTGGATGATTTGACAGTGGAGAGAACTACTACTGGGATGGTCCTAGTCACCCTATCTAAACCAACTCCAGGTGGTGTTTCTGCAAGCTGAGAATGTGGCATGACTGAGGGCCAACTTGTTTAACTCAAAGGTGGGTGTGTGGTGGTTTTTTTCACTCGTGTTCACAATGTTCATGGGGTATTGTCAG